ATGGAGGCTGAAGCTGGCAGGGAAGGACTATCTGAGGTCACTGTGGAGGGGGCAAGAGGCCCGCACTCAGCTTCACGTCCAGGTCTGAGAAGTGGGGAGTCACACAGGACTCATGTAGCCAAACAGGCGCAAGGGTACAGAGCCCTGGACTCCGGCACAAGCTCTCTGGCGGCAGCTGCCTGGAGTCTGAGCCTTTCGTCCCCGGGAGCCTCGGTCTTACCATCTGTCGGAGGGCTGGCATGTGGCACTCAGGGGGACAAGGCTCTGGACTGATGTCAGGAATAATCTGAGGGAGACTATTCCTTCCCACCACATGAGGAAACTGGTAGCTGTTTCTAGGGTACCCATTCCAGGCCACCCAGTTGTCTATGAGGCTCCTTTAATGGGGGCAGGGTGGCAAACCCAGGCATACAGAAGTCTCTTTGTTCCGGTCTTGGTGATGGCTGGCGGCTGGCTCACCCAGGGAGCGGCTTCGGCCTGGTCACCACCCTTCCCTGTGGACACTGGGAAGGGGACGAGCATGGCTTTACCCAGTGACAGCAGCGTGAAGGCTGGGTGGGGGTGAGGCCAACACACTGTGTAGACGCAGACCCTGAGCGTCTCCATCATCTGGGCTCAGTTCAATCCAGAAGGCTTAGGCAGCATGACCTCCTGACCTTGACCTCCTGACCTCGGTGCTGATCCGTACCTTCACCATCGCCAAGCTGCTCCTTCTAGGACCCACCGCAGCTCCAAGTGTGCTGAACTCCCTCCCAAAGGACCAGCAGCTTGTTCTTCAGTCACCACACACTGTCCTTGCCACAGCACCAGGGGCCTTCAGAGTCAGGTCTCTTGGCTGTACCTTTAGGCCGGTGTACTGGCCACTCTGGTGGCAGCCTTCTCTGGGCCCTGCTGTCCTCAGTTCCCCCCATCCCCATGCTCTACCCTGTACCCACTCCTGCTCCCCAGCCAAGGTCTTCCCCAGGCTGCTCTCCTCTGCCACCCGCTCATGTCTTGGGAGGAACCTGGAATTAATCCCTGACCCCACCACCGGCCCCACAGCAGCCTGACTGTGCATGGAGGTCAACTGCACAGCTCCTCTGAGTGCAGGAAACCCATCACCATCTGCTCCCTGGCTCCCAGCACCAGAAATCATCTCCCCAGGGGAAATTCACCAGTGACTCCCCACAGATAAACCCACTGTCCAGACCATGGCTCCCAAGGTCCTGTACCACTTGCCCATCCATATCAGTGAACTGCCGCCAGGCCGCTCTGACAGCAGCCTCAGGGCCCTTGCACATGTGTTCTACCCCAGGTACAAGCCTCCTCTGGCATCTCCTTCCCCCGGGCTGTAGCAACCACGACCTCATCTTGATAAGCATTGCATCACACAAGCCCGGCTTCACCCAATGGAAACCTTTCAGCTTGAGTTCTGATTTCCGGGGCTGCCTGGGGCATTGGGAACCGTTGAAGAGACAGGAAGAAGCTGGCACCGTGCCCTAGGCGGCGGCTACCCAGTGTTAACAGACAAATCAGGACGGCTATTTAAATCGATTGAGGATTGTGCAAACACTGCTATCAGGGGATTACTCGCCCTTATCAGCCCAGAAGCCGGTGCAATGGGAGAGCTGGCCACATCGGCTGTGAAGATGAGGCCGGACGCTGCGGAACTCGGGTCCCAGGCAGGGAAGGGAGAGGGGGTGGCCTGCCTGACAACACACAGCTGGGCCTACGACAGGGTGTCCACCCACCACTGGCCAGGGTGTGGCCAGAGAGCCTAGGTGAGGGCCAGCGGGCGGAGGCCAATGCTGGAATCTTCTGTTCAGTACTGCTCCCAGGAGTGGAAGCCTTTGCTCTGCACAATATCGCTCCCAGGGAAGTGGCCAGCTCAGGGAGTGACCCAGCAGGCCACTGGGTCTGTCAGCCTGAGCAGGGGCTGAGGTAGCCTTGGTCAGTGGTTTAGCAGGCAATGCTGCCCCCACGCCTCTCCCCAGTCACCAGCCCTCTCAGCAGAGTCCCAGGAGGCCACAGCGCCACAGCCTCCATGTTCTTGACCAGCCAGACCAGCCAAGGCTGGAGGAGCCGCCCAACTCTGGGGTAAGGGCTCCTGTGAGGAGGGATTAGGAAACTCCTGCAGGTGGGGTCTGGGCCCCCCAGCACAGAGTGGACTAACCTCTCCCCTGTGATAGCTCTGCCCTAGACTGAGAGATGCCTTGATTAGCGGCCTGCACACTATTGGCTTAGGCAGACAGAATGCTTATAATGAGACTGTGGAAGCAAAACCAGAGGGTGAACCAAGGGTGCCATGGCCCCCTGACCAGTCCCGGAGCTCAGCAAATGGAGAGAAGACACACCTGAGCCAGAGGGCTGGAAAGGAGGGATTCCGAGCCAGCTGGAGCCCGGGATGCAGCTGGACATCACAGCCATGCGTGCATCAGCAAAAGGACATCCAGACATTTTGCGGGTCCCTCCTCGGAGCCTCCAGTTTCTCATCAAGAGGATGAGCCTCAGGTCCTATGCCTGGCCAGAGAAACACCAGGACTTCCTAGCACAGTGCTCCATTCCATGCTCAATACTTGGAATTCACTCACTGAATTCTGGGCAGCTGCCACGAACCAGGCCTTGTGCCTGAGGTTGGGGATACAGCAGTGGATGACACAGAAAAAACAATCTGACTTCCGAACTGAGGGAGCTCCAGCAGGGTCGGGGAATCAGTGTGTTTGAGGCAGGGTCTCACTTCGTAACCCTGGCTGGCCTGGGTTCACAGAGGTCTTCCTCAGCCTCCCAAGTACTGAGGTTAAAGGCCAGCACCACCACACTCAAGGAGGGCTGTTTTTGAGGGGCCATCACAGAGGGCCTAAGCATGTGGCCTCTAGGTAGATGTTGGGGATCAAATGTGTGGTGTTCTGTGAAGGGCTCCAGGCACATTGAACAGCTTGTACAAGGGCCCTGAGGTAATAGTGGTGTGTGTGTGTGTGTGTGTGTGTGTGTGTGTGTGTGTGTGCGCGCGCGCTGAGTGTGTGGCCAGTGTGGCTGAACAGTGACAAGTAGGGAATGCTGAGGTTGGGGCTGTCAAATGGCCACCATCGAATCAGGACACGGAACAGGGCAGTGGGAGGCCTGGAAAACAGCTGGGAGGAGAGTGGGGGAGGGGCAGCCGATCGAGAAGTATGCTCAAAGAAGACTGACTGCTGAGGGCGGAATGTAGCAGACAGGCACTGGGGGCGCTGTCATGGTGCTGGGATGGACGCTCTAAGATGAGCACGTGGGACTCTCGTAGCTTGTCCCTGACGCAGGACCACCCCGCGCACTCACAGCACACACACAGTGCACACACGCGTGCTCACGTGCACAGAGGCGAGCAAACTCCAGAGGGACCCTGGCACTCACCAACACCGAGGATGACGAGGGGTGTGTGCTCCCAGCGGGCCAGCAGCAGGAGGTGAACCGAGTTGTGGGCGATGAGGCTGAAACACAGGACCACAGAACACCACTCCTGGAGGCGCTTGCCTGTGGAGAGAGGAGGACCGAGTAAGCACAGGCTGTGGGGATCTTCAGGGGGGTTGGCGTGCACTGTGCCAGGCGCTCCCATCCATCCATTTCACCGACAGCACCAGAGGCCCAGAAAAAAAGCAAAAGCAGGACACTGGGCACAGGGTGCGTGCCCGAGTCTGGGCCTGCACCTGTCAATTCTTTACAGATAGATGGGCTTGCTGGGGACTCCTGCAGGAACTTGAATGACCTCCTTGATTTTAACAGAAGTTTCCTGGCACCATGTTTCCAGGCTGGTAACTAGGTAGAGGTCATGGCCAGCCTCTGATCCCTCAACCCAGGGACGCCCGGAGCCTGCCCAGCCTCCACGAAACAGGACACAGGCCATTGGCCTCAGGGTCAAAGAAGAATAGGGTGTTGAGTCACAGAATAGGTATTGGGGACATTAGGCCCCAGAGTTCCAGGGTTGGCACCTGGATGCCTACAGCCAGCCAGGAGCGTGACCTTCCCCACCCGACAAGGCTGCAGCAGGTGACCGAGGAGGCACCAGACCTGAGGACTCGGGTGTGAGCATTCCACTTTAAATGCAGTCACCGTTTATAGAGACGCAAGCTTAGACAAGCTTGTCATTCTTGTGGCTTTGGTGGAGGTGTTAAAACTCTGGACATCGGCAGAGCACCCACGGCCTGGGGATGAGCCAGAATCGGCCCATTCATGGCCTTCTGTTGCCCAGGTACAGAAAAGCAATGTGTTGCTGGCGGGATCAATAAAGAAAAGAGGCTGGTGAGATGGCTCGGCCGGCCGGAAACGGAGCTTGCCACCAAGTGCGATCACCTGAGGTCAGTCCCTGGGCCCCACACGGCAGGGGGAGCTGACTCCTGAGAATCGTCCTGTGCACCACAACATGTACCACACGCACACACCCACTAAACAAGGAGGAAATACGCGTAAACGTTTTCTAAAAGAGAAGAAAACACGAGGGACAGGAGTGTCGCTCAGGAGCCGCGCACTAGGATGTTCGAGCCGCTAGGCTTATATTTGGCACCAGACAAAAACACAAAGGGACAGCAAGATGGTTCAGGAGGTAAAGGCGTCTGCTGCCAGGCCTGATGATCCCAGTTCAGTCCCTGGGACCCACATAATGAAAGGGGGAATCAACTCCCACGAGTGTCCTCTGACCTTCACAACACGCACCATGGCACACATACACACACTAAATAAATAAATGTCAGGAAAAATGTAAAGAAAGCCTCTAGACCACCTGAGACTGCCTTTCCATGTATTCCCTTTGGTATACCGCATCGAGTTATTTTCTTTTGACAACTAATTTTGAAATTTTTTTAAAAAAAGAAATAAAAACACCATGTGAGCGGCAAGCCTTATGCCTGTTTCCCTGGCAGCTGGTCCGAGGCTGGAGACCCTTATGTTGACAATGTGACTACTGTCGGTCATAGTAGCATCAACTGAGCAATTGCCAGGCACCAAGAACCTGCCCAGAAGCAGAGGTGTGGACAAGAAGATGGAGGGTCTTGCACGTGGACATGTCTGCTCCTCTTTTCTTTGGGAGTAGGAATGTATCCCTAACATGCTACGCTGATTAAGGGGTTTTTCGGGGTTCCAACCTTACAGGAGAGGTTGAGTAGTAGTATATTTCTCCTACATTAAACAAAAAAAAGACAGAGGGTCAGAGAAGTCACGGAGGCAGCCCAGGGCAGCTCAGCGGGCCAGCCAGAGGGACGCTGTGGTCTCCTCTCACCCACCCACTGCCCTGCTCCGATGCCCCTGCGTTCTCTCTTCCCTTGTTCTCTACCACGCCATCGTCCTGATGGAGGCCCCTGATGGGGTCAATGAAGGCCCATGCCAGGCCTACTGCCCCTCCCTGCTCCTGCAGACCAGAGCCTAGACACCTCTACCACCCTCCTCCTGCTCAGTGATCCTGACATCCCTCCACCCCCAGGGCTACAGCCCTACCTGAACGTGAACTCAGGGTATGTCAAGCGCCCTCACCAGGGCCCTGCACTCAGTTGGTGTTCAATGAATGCTCATGGAGTGAACAGTCTAATTGCAAACCGTAGACCATGTCTCCAAGTCCTAAGCTTAGCACTACATAGGATGCAAAGATTAGGCTCCATTGGGGTCCACGCAGCAGCCGGCTGCTCCCGACGGCTGGAGCCAGAGCTAAAGCAGCTGTCCCCAGAAAAGGCTGACGTTGGGGGAAGGGACCTCAAGGGTCACACACCCTTTGCTCACATACAGAAGGGGACACCAAGGCCAAGGAAGGGCAAGGCCCCCAGAGGTCACAGGAGCAGATCTGGGTCCAGGGATTCCAGTCCTTCTCAACTGTACTATCTCTGAGCTCTGCTTAGAGTGATGGCCTGCCTGACTCTTCCGGTTCCTGCCTGTGGGTAGGGCCCAGGACTGAGAAGCAGGAAGCCCAGGGGTGGGGGAATGAACACAGGAGGAGACAAAGGACAGGTGACTCTCCTTGCCAACCTGCTTGGTTACCTGTAGGGATTGAGAGACAAAAGATGGGCAGCGTCACAGCCAAGGATTAGACTCAAACAATGCACTAAAACATTAACGAAAATGATGACAATGGCCGGTGTCCACTGATGGGAACCAGGTGTGGCTGCAAACAGAGCCTCTGGTCAGGTTTGCTCTTAGGTTTTAAAAACGTGATCTAGCCGGGCAGTGGTGGTGCACATCTTTAATCCCAGCACTCAGGAGGCAGAGCCAGGGAGATCTCTGCGAGTTCAAGGCCAGCCTGGTCTACAGAGCGAGATCCAGGACAGGCACCAAAACTACACAGACAAACCCTGTCTCGAAAAGCCAAAAAAAAGGGGATCTAAACTTAAAACCACATATATCCTAGTTCTTGTTAGCCCTGAGAACACAGGGCTGTCACTACAGTCATGGGTTCCAGGTCCCCCAGCTGCTTTCAGGGCTGTCTGGCTGCCTCTGTGGTCATGAGTTTTGGAACCCAAAGTGAGACTTGGCCAAGGAAACTGAGGTACAGAGTTGGATGTGGGTCCTTGCCTGGAAACGGTTAGATCTGGGCTCACAGCTCCTGAGCTGGTCATTTCTCACTTTATTGGGCAGAATGGCCCTGAAATCTGAGTATTTCTCTTTAAACTTTGGACCTGGGTCCAACTGCAGATGGACCTCAGTTCTGATCTACAAAAGCATGTACAACATGTTAACATGCTACCAGCACCTCACACCACCCCTGGGAGAGCCAGGACGGTCTTCGCAGTGCCAGGGAAACCAAATAAGTGTCTAAAGTCATGGCTAGGCCATCAGCCTGGCAGGCCCATAAAACAGTCAACTTGACAAATAGGCAGGCTATTTGGGAGTTGGGGAGGCCTTTACTCAGGAATCAGGGGGTCCTGGGGGTGCTTTACTCAGGACTCAGCTGTCCCAACCTCCGCCTTAGAGCCTGTCCCTGGCCTGGAGTGGTAGGTGCAGATAATCCAGGCCAAGGTGCAACAGTGACTGCCCCCCTGATGGCCTGGGTGCCCCCTGATGGCCTGGGTCCCCCCTGTTGGCCTGGGTGCCCCCCTGCTGGCCTGGGTGCCCCCCTGCTGGCCTGGGTGCCCCCCTGCTGACCTGGGTGCCCCCCTGCTGGCCTGGGTGCCCCCCTGCTGGCCTGGGTGCCTATATGAGGTGGGGACGGAGCCTGGGAGAGGAGGAAGGCCCACCTACTTCACAGGGCAAGTTGAGCACCCCTGCCTCTTCCTGCCCCAAACAACCTACACTTGTGCTGGCCTCTGGCCACCAGGAGATCCTGTGCACCACAGAGAGTGGACAAGAGGGACAGAGAAGACAGGACCAGACACAGGGACAAATGGGTTGAGGAAACAGACACCAGGGACACACAAAGATAAGACCCAGAGGGAGAAAGACGAGGGAGAAAGCCAGACCAAGTGAGGACAGAGAGAGCTCAGCCCAGTGCGGTGGGGCCAGGCCTGGCCAGCGACATCGTACAGTGGCCCCATGCCCCAGAGCTATGGCTTAAGGCAGACCTCAGGCCCACAGGCCAGGCCACTGTCCTGTGGTCCTAAGCACTTCCAGGGCAGAGGGCACTCCCAGCTGCCCCGGCTGGTGGACAGACAGTTGGATTCAGCACCCCTCAGGCTCTGTCATCTTTCCAGTCCGGCACCTGTGAAGTGGCTTACATGGCAGGTTGCAGCCGGCACCTCTGAGAGCTGCCATCTTGGCCCAGTAGGTGGGAGGGAGGATCCAGCAAGGCCACTAGGCTCCTTTCAAACTCGGGCTTTTGGCTCATCGCTGGGAAATCCAAACCCATAGTTGCGCACTGCTCAAGACCTTCAGTGGCTGCTACACCGCACAGGTTAGAAAGAGCTCAGGCCAATGCCTGAGCCCCAGTAGTGACGTCACTGTGGTCACTATTGCCTCATTCCTGATCACCCCCTTCTATCCCACCCACCCTGTCCACAAACAGGCTCTACTGCTGTCCTGGCACTTCTGGCTCACTTACACAGCCAAGGTGAAAGAAAACCAGCAAACAGGAGATGCACCCACTTCATCTCTGTCCCAGTGCCGCCGGTAACCCACACAAGAGCAGGGCAGGTTACCATCCTGTGCTAAGCCTCTCCACAGACATGGACAAGGTGGTCCTGGGGTGTCATGGGTTCCCCGAAAGCCAGCCTTTCTACTGCGGTGACAGCAGCCTAACCCCAAACAGGACTGGCGTTTCAAGACATGAGAGCCTGTGGGGAAAATGCCTACACAAGTCAGTCTCCAATAAACGCCATCTTTGTTAATTTACCACTACCAGCTGCCAAAAGACGACAAACCACCTTCGGCCCCAGGAATCTCAATAACTCAGTCCCGGGACCCTGGGGCGGCTTATTGTGTTCCAGCCCACAGGTTCGTCGTGCTCCTCGGCTGTGCCAGGCACACTCCCACCTCAGGGCCTTTGCAGTTGTTCTCTGGACCTCACACTCTCTCAAGATCCCTCCTGCTCTTCCCCTCTTCAGCCAGTCCAATGCTGTCCTTTCAGTGATGGCTGATGCGGCCGCTCTACATGCCACCCGTCTCCCTAATACTTCCCCTGCCACTTCTGCTTCACACACTTGTGGCCCCGTTTCCCTTATGTGGGGGCTCATCGCCTGTCTCCCCAACCCAGACGACAGTTCAAGTCCTGCCTGCTGCTCTGCCTTCAGGGCCGAGAACAGAGACTGGAATGAATATAATATCAATAGGTGCTCAACATACATCAAGCCTGTTCTCTCTGTTTACAGGTCAGGTCCAGAGGGTCAAGGTACCTCTGAGTCCACAGGGCTCAGTGGACAGAGACAGACAGAGGGAGACCTAGTGAAGTTGGAGGAACCAGTTCGACCAGTCTCTCCCTCTCTTTCCAGGTCAGGGGAGAAGGCCTTGACTGAGGGTTTGGGGCCCCCAGAGGCTGTCTGAAGCCTTGGGCTTCTGTACCACTATTCTAGAACAGCAACCAGGGACCGATACAGAATCATGAAGGAGGGGTGAGAGGTGGCCTGCAGGGGGAAGCAAGAGGAAACAATTGGGACCAGCAGAACGGAGGCTGTGGGGACAGCCCAGCCAGAGGCACTCTGGATCCCTCCTCTCCATTCTTAGGTCCTAGGCCAGAGGCCTGAGGACCAGCAAGACAAAGCTTGCTCCAAGCTCAGAGAAGGGAAGAGGGCCAGGTGAATCACAGGGACTGCCTATTGTACACAGGGCTTAGTGCCACACAGTGAGTGTCCTTACAGTGGGTGATCGCTGTGACACTGAAGAAGAGAGACTTCGCCTTGCCTGTGGGGGAAGAAAGGAAACCCAGGCTGGGGAGTGAGGAGGCTTGGCCCAGGCCAGGCAGCTATGAATGCCACCAGACTCCCCAAGGAGAGCAGGTCCAGAGGCTGGCTGTTTGTGTGGGCCACGAACCCAGCAGAACAGACCAAGCACCCAAGACAAGCTGGAAAACCATACATACAGACTGGAAATCCAAGACTAGGGCAGCCCTTAGGGACCTAGGACCCAAAGAGGAGAGGCAAATGGCCCTACGTCACATGCTACTTATAGTTAAAAAAGCACCAAACTCATGCCAGCCAGGGCACGAAGCCAAGGGAGTAGTGGCCTCAGCCCCACCCTGGCCAGGGCTCTGCCCTGGAGCTGCCCAGCCAAAGGAGGCAGAATGTCGGACAACAAAGCCGACTCATGGAGACACCCCAGCAGAGGTGCCTCAGGCTGTGACTCTGGAGTGAACAGGCATTTCCTCAACCCCTGGGGACACCCAGTCGGAGAGTGGAATTCCTGAGGCACGCTGGGCGCTGGGGAACAGGATGGAGCCAGAGCATGTTAGGGTAAGAGCATGGCTAAGATCAAAGAAACCAGAGAGCCTGGCCTTGAGGAAAGGGGTAGAGTCAGGGCAAGGGGCTCTGGGTTGTGATAAGGGATGGGGAACCAGGGTATCCCACAAAGTCCTAAGTGGCTAGTGTGTGGGTGTGAGAGAGGACAGAGCCAGACAGGAACTCAATAGGATCTGAGTAGTTACCCAGAACCTCCCAGGAAGAGGTGAAGGCTGCCGGTCCCAATGGGAAAGGCAAAGTTTATGGCAGCTACTTGAAGCAGGGACCATGGTAGGGCTTGGGGGAAGAGCTCCTGGCATACTCTGCAGTTGAGACCCAAACTGGGGGCCTCGCAGCTGGAGGGCTGATAGTCCCAGATTGGGGGTGGGCCAGTGCAACCCAGGGCCCTAGCTAAAACGCACAAGGTGCAGAATCACAACGTGTGTTGGGGGCTGGGGGGAAGCCCTAGGACATCATGTGAGTTTAGGTCGCTAAGGACAGGGCCTAGTGGTTGAGGAGCTGTCTGAGGCTTGGCTGCTGAGAACCGGAAGCCTTGGAAAGGGTCCTGGGCACACAAGGAAGGCCACGGTGAGGTTCCTAAGCTGCCCAAGGTGCCCTGGGGCTAGGACTCCGGATGTGCATTTGCAATGAGGCTGTTCCTCAATCTAGGGACGTCTCTGCAGCCCCAGTGCCTCACGGTTCTGGGTAAGAAGGGGTCTGGGTGGGGTCGCTAGACCTGGGGTTGCTCTTTGCAAGTTGGAAGCCCCGGAGTTCCGCTTTGAAGGTGGAAGCTGGGGTTGGGATGGGGGCAGGGTTCGGATGGCGTGGGGTTCGGATCCAAGGGCGTCCAAATGGGCTGGAGTTTGTATCTGGGTGGAATTCGGATCTTGGGAATTCTGGTGGGCTGGGGTTCGGATCCGGGGTAAGGGGCTCGGATGAGTTGGGGTTCAGGTTAGGGTGAGGTTCGAATAGGCTAAAGTTCTGATCCACAGGCTCCGGATGGGTTTGGGTTCGAATCCGGGCCTTCGAATGGGTTGGAGTTCGGATCCGATGGGTTGAGGTCCGGGCGTTCAGACCGCCTGGGGTTCGGTCAGGGCGGGCCCGGCGCCGAGCACCCATCAGCCCGCAGGCCCGCCGCCCCGTCCTACCTGGCGAGTAGAGCGCCGCCAGCTCACGGGCACCGGCGTGCTGTGCGCCCCAGCGCCGGCTCTCCGCCGTCTCGTCCTCATCCAGCTCCGGCTGCCGGCCCGGCGCGTCCTCGGCGCCCGCCATGGCCCGTCGCCCGGCACGCCCGCTGCGCTCTGCCTGCGGCGGCGGCGGCGGCGGCCGCGGAACCGCGGCGAGATCACGCCGCCCAATGACCAGCCGGCGCTGGGCGCGGCGACCGGGGCGGGGCCTCGGCGGGGCCGCGCGTCACAGCCAATCGAGACCTGCGCCCGCGCCGCGCCCGGCCAATCGCAGGCCGCCGAGCCGCAGCCAACCGCGGCGCCGTGGGGCGGGGTCGCAGCTGGACTCAGCTGGGCGCGGAGGGGAGGGTGAGTGTGCGCGTCCCCGCTGCGCCCCCGCGAGCCAGGGAGGACGCGCCCGTGCAGTGGTCCACGATTTGACTTCTGCGCCCCGCGAAGCGCCCACTGAGTTCACGGCGGCCGCGGGACGCGCATTCGCGGGGAAGCTGCTCGCTGCGCGCACTAGGTTTCATTTCACTACTCAGGAGGGTCTCGCGTTCGAGGCCAGCCTGGGCTACATTGCAAGACTCAGTCGCAAAACATAACTAGTGATACTGCCTGCTGAGAAGCTGCCCCCCCCCCGCCCCGCGCCATGACCACTTGCTGGGGTGCCCCCTCCTCCGGTCACTGTGACATCACCCTGACGCTTGTCAGCGCTTGTCATGGGTAACCAGGAAAGGATCTGGAGGGCTCTGCCTGGGCCAACAGCTGGCAGATGTTAGAAGCTAAACGGGTTGAACGAATTTGGGCTCAGCAGACTGTCCTGTCTTTAGCACATCAACATTAAGAGAGCTGTGGGCTTATGTAAAGTCCTTAGAGCAAGATAAACAGCGTTTGCCCCGGGGGCTGCAGGACTGAGGTGCCCCGGCAGAGGGGATATAAGATCTGAAGGATCTTTCCAAAGGCTCCATCTTCATACTGAGACTTAAGCCTCCCCAGGCTACCTCCCCCCACCCCCCCGCCGTGCTCCTTTCCTGGGTGGTCTCTGTACCTAGTCAGTTCCCAGCTTCCTCCTTGCCTCCATTTGCCTCCTCCCTCAAAGGAAGAGCCAGGCTGCCGCCCAAGTTCCTGCCGGTTCCGATGAAGTTGGTGGCCTGGCACCTTGTATTAACCGCACGATTAGATTTGGGGTGTCAGGGGTTTATTCTGATTTGTTTAGGTAGGTGCTGGGTCGCAGACCCTCTCAGACTACTCGGTATCCCAGTGCTTATTAGCAAGCCGCTGATTCAGGTGATCTCTGTGACCTGCAAGGCCAAGGAACCTTGAACTGTGTCACTGTTCTTCCAACTCATGAAGCACCAGCCTGGACCTACACCGAGTCTCTGATGTTTGCTAGAGATGGCTGGGGGAGGTTCCTTCCTGTAGTTTGTTTTGTGTGCACTGGTGGGAGTGTGTGTACCATTTTACCATGGTGCCCATGTGGAGTCAGAGGACAATTCTTGGGTTACTCCTTCAACCATGTGAGTCCCGGGGATTGAATTCAGGTCCTCAGATGTAGCAGCAGGTGTTGTGAGAAATGGCGTCCTGTAGGGTTTTGCACAGCAGAATGACAAGATCTGATTTACATTAATTTTTCAGGGAGGCAGTGGTGGCACCTCTAATCCCAGCAGTTTAGATCTCCGAGTTTGAGGGCACTCTGGTCTACCGGAACTCACTCTTGAACTTACAGAGATGACAGCCTGCACCACACCTGACTTTTATTTATTTATTGGTTGTTTGAGGCAATGTTTCTCAGTGTAGCTTTATCTATCCTTAGACCAGGCTGGCCTTAAACTCACAGAGATCCACCTGCCTCTGCCTCCCGAGTACTGGGATCAAAGGTGTGCACCACCACTGCCTGGCTCCGGCTTTTTATTTTTTTAATAATTTGTTTTTATTTTATGTGCATTAGTGTTCTGCCTGCATGTATGCCTGTGTGAGCATGTTGGATCCCCTGGGACTGGAGTTACAGTTTTGAGCTGCCATGTGGGTGCTGGGAATTGAACTTGGGTCCTCTGAAAGAGCAGACAGTGCTCTTAACCATTGAGCCATCTCTCCAGCCCCCTGGCTTTTTAATTTTTAAAGTAAGTCATTCACATGCTTTGAAAATCAAAGCCATATAACCTTCCCCGAAAGAGATCCTATCCCCTGCCCTGCCCGTTTGCCGCTCTTTTCTTTCTGTTGATTACAGATTTTTATTTATGTGTATGTGTCTCTGTGTGTATATGACACATATGTTCTGGTGCCCTTGGAAGCCAGAAGGTCGGGGATCTCCTGGAGCTGGAGTTACAGGTGGCTGCGGCCACTCAGGACACTGATCTGGGAACAAAACCATGTTCTCTGTAGGAGCAAACACATGCTCTTGACAGCTGAGCCATCTCTCCAGGCCCCCCCCCACACACACACACACTTCTTACCCGATTCTTCCACACTCTTTCTGTGCTTCTGTGCAGATGCAGAGTGAGCACACGTTCTGTGTGTTGTATGCATGTGCATGGATGTTGTGTATGTGTGTGTTGCATACCCATCCATGCATGCTCATGTAGAGAACAGAGTCAGTCCTTGCCACCTTATTTCCCTGAGACAGGTATAACCTGAAGTAGCCTGGCCTTTAGCAAGCCTGTGATCTCCTGCCTCTGCCCCCACGTTCTCCCCTCCAACCCCAGTTTTCTGTTTCTAGGCAGGTGCTGGATCTGAACTCCGGTCCTTATGCTTTTGCAGCAAGTGTTTTTCCCTCTGAGCCATCTCTCCAGCCCCATGAGCACATATTTTTACTGTCCTTCCCTTTTTAACATAAAGAAATGGAGTGTTCTGTTCTTGGGTTCTTGGTTTTAACTTGTCCTATCGGCAACAGAAGGCTTCCTGACAGACAGACAGACAGACAGATAGCCTGGAATAACAATGAATTACATACCATTTATTTATTCATCTGTTCTTTGAAATGGGGTCCATGTATACCAGGATAGCCTCAAACTCCTTACTATTTAGCTGAAGGTGATCCTGAACTCTTGACTCTGCTGTCTCTATTTCCAAGTGTTAGGACAACAGGCACGTAGCACCTCCCCAGCCTTTGTTGTTTGTGAGATGGGATCTCACAGTGTAGCCCGCTTGCCTCTAACTCATGGTAATCTGCTGGTGGCCATGTCAGAGGAGCTGCAGGCAGCGATGGAGCTTATGGAATACAGCCCAGGGGATAACAGCTACTCGGGGTCCATCGTGGAGAGGCAAAGCCCCAGCAGATTGTCTCCAGAATGTTCCTTTGCTTCTGCCGTACATCCTCCAGCTTCCTGCTGCCATGTTCCTGCTGTGGTTGACATGCTGTGATTGCTATATGAA